AGCAGCTGATTTTGGTTCTGGCATATTAATTATTGCTTCAATTTTGTCGTGATTAGCATGAATCCCCTTAGCGTCAATATCATGACCCAAGAACCTCACTTTGTTTTTAAAAAACACACTTTTATTAAAGTTAGGTATTAGCCCATACGATGATATCCTATCAAATACTTTTTTTATGTTGTTAAGGTGGGCTTCATCGTTTTTTCCAGTTATAAGTAAATCATCAATATAAAATATAACGTCATCCATGTCACCGAAGATTTGATCCATAATCTGTTGAAAAATTGCAGATGAGGTCTTAAGCCCAAAAGGAAGTCTAGTAAATTGGTAATATCCCTTATGCGTAGATATGGTTAAAATATTTCTGCAACTTTTATCAATTGGAATCTGTAAGAAAGCATTTTTAAAGTCAATCTTCGTAAATTTCTTTCCTTCCGAAAGTTTAGCAAATAGATCATTAATTCGTGGTAGAGGGTATCTAAAGTCTTCTAAAGCTGGGTTTACAGTATCCTTAAAATCAGCGCAAAGCCTAATGCTCCCATCTTCTTTGTAGACAGCGGTAACAGGACTTGCCCATCGGACATCATTCACCGGCTCAATTATTTTATCATGTATCCATTTTTTGAGTTCATTACAAACAAGATCAATTTTTGAATAAGGGATGCGTCTAGGCGGTATAATTTTAGGTTGGGCATCACTTCTTAAATGTAACTTGACACTTGCTTTGTTGATTGGCCCATTAGTTAATTTCGATTCACACTCTTTAATCAATTTTTTTATTTCATCTTCATAATTAGTGTCAATATTTGCTATAAATTTATTTAAAATATTTTTGAAAGCATTGATCCACGTACGTCCCAACAAGGCATTTTTACTTGATTCAACCACTACCGCTTGTAAATATTTGGAAATACCATCATAAGTCACTTTAACTTGAGTAGTTCCTATGATTTTGATTAAATTCCCATCATAAGCAGTGAGTTGTAGCTCGGATTTCTTAAGATCTCTAATACCAAGTTTTTTAGCCAGACCATGAGGTATAATAGTGTATTTGGATCCAGTGTCCACTTGCATACAAGTAACCATGTCGTTCACTTTTAAAGTAGTCATAAAAGCGTTATCTTTGTCATTAATCATATCGCCAGATAAATTGTTGACATTAAAATCATTATCATCTTTGTTCTTTGTAGAGTCGCCTTTTTCTTCAATAATTTCTTCAATATTCATGTTGTAATCATTATTGTATTGTATTTGCTTTCTATTATTTTCGTCGCCACTTCTATAATTATTTGAGTTGTTGTTATCTTGTATTTGCTTTCTCTGATTATTATCATTACCTCTATAATTATTTGAGTTGTTGTTATATTGTATTTGCTTTCTCTGATTATTATCATTACCTCTATAATTGTTTGAATTGTTGTAATAAGATTGGTAATTGTTACGATTTCCGTCACCGTATTGGATTTGTTTTCTTTGATTATTATCATACCATGTATTATTTCTACCATAATTCGATTGATTATTATTATTATAGCGATAATTGTTATAGTTATAATTGTTATAATTATCGTGGTATCGCGAATTATTATTACCATAATTGTATCTAAAATTATTATTGTAATTCCCATTTCTATATCTATTATCATAATTATTTCTAAGATTATTTCTAAAATTATTATCATTTCTACTGCAAAAATTTTTATCTTTATCGGACTTTTTATCATTATTTATATAACTTATATCATTATCCTCAGACTTAATATTACTAGAGTCCAGTTTCACCCCTAATTCCACCATCTGATTCAATGTAAGGTCAAAATTTTTGGAGAATTTGTATTTAATCTTATCGTTTAAGGTAGATGTCCGTAATTTCTCTTTTAATCTACTATCGTCCAAAAAATTACATTTCTTATGAAGTTTCAATACTCTAATGTACCACAGCATAAAACTCTCTGATGAGTTTTGTTGAAGAAGATTAAATTTATTAATTAAAGTATTTAAATTTAGCGCTGGTAAAAGATAGGTTAACTTTTTAATCACAATTTTAAGATCTAAAATATCGGTATCAGAACAAATTGCCTTAATGTCGTCAAAAACTTCGTCTGATAAATTATTAAGCAAAGTATTAATTTTAATAGAGTCCGATAATGTACTGGTCGAAAAGTAATTTAATATTCTGTCTAAATAAATTTCAGTAAAAGGACCCACTAACTTAGGGATCTTATGTGTAAATTCTTGTTTAATTTCCATATTTAATTAATAAGACACATAAATAAGCAATTATAACATTTATTTATTAATTCAAGTTTTGGTATAACTATTTATGTTTTAATGAATATACAAATTAATTCAATGAAATCACTATCGCTGTAAATATAGTGTTTCCCGTTTAATAATTCAAAGCAATTTATCATGTCTCTTAAATTCATAAATTCAAACAGTTCGTAAAAAGAAATCTTCGATATATTAATGTTAAATATTATTTTAATTATTTATTTCAAATTTCATAATATATTTGTTTATTACCTATTATGTATATAGATTAATGTTATATAAAAGTGATTTAACAATAAAAATTTTTATATACTTTTAGAATTGCAATTAAATTGAATATAAAGTATAACTGATCATTATAATATATTCAAATGACATAAGTTATGGTAGAGTTAAATTATAGATATTATACTAATAAAAAGTATACTAAAAATTAAAACTATTGGTATCTTTACAGAATACAATTTGATGATATCGGATCCGTAATCGGCCGATATCAATTTAATATCGAGAATATCGGATCGGCCTCCAAAAAGTGGTATCGGTACACCTACACCCCTAGTTTTATTCAATATACACCACAAATTTTTACTTTTTATTTCATAAAACTAAAACTAAACTTTATTTTTAAAATTAATCACATAAAAACAGAGTTGATAAAGTATCTAGATATAAAAATTCCGTATTTGTATCCAGATACACTTTTATAAAAAGTATCTGCATCTTATTTTAGAGGTATCTGTTTTAAGATACTTTTTAAGATATATTTTGATATACTTTTATTTAACGCTTTTTATCTTAAAAATAAAAATTAAAATGCAAAATTCATATCTCATATGAACATATAATTTAAATAAATATTAGAAAATATTAAGACTAATATAATAAAATATATATAAAATATTAAACTTATAATAAAAAAAATAAATCGTCAGTCTAGAATTGGAGTGCCCCACTCGACATTTTCAAAATTTTTGAGTTAGAAGTGGTTAATAATTTATTTATTCCCAATATATATAAAAATAAAAACTAGATTAAAAAATAATAATTTTTGCCAAAGTTGCTCTGTCAAAATTGATTAATAAGCTCTTCCTATATTTGATTTTCTCATTTTAAACATTTGCACAAGTGGAGAACTCCAATTCTAGGCTGACGATATTTCATTAAATATAATTTTTTTTCTCCATTTAAATTTAATATCAATTCAAGATTGTGAAGGAAATTTATATCATGTAAAGGAATACATTGTATAGCCATGAATTCCATTAATTATTAAAAACAATAGCATTGATGCACAGAATTATTTTAAACAAATAAATTTATTTAGAATTTTTTAAATAATTTTTATAAATATTCCCCTACTATTAATAAATAAATTATAAGTTTAAAGTAAATATTTTTTTTAAATAAATTCTCGTTTGTTCAAATAAACGATAGAAATAGGGGTATTGATTTTTTTTATGTGGTCGAATTAAATGAGAACAAAATATAAAAATGTTTTACATATTTTGTTCTCTTATAAAAGTTTCTGTTCAAGAACAAGGCTAACTTATATATATGTATGATAAAAATTATATCTGTATCTAGATTTTTTTAACATTGTATCAGTAGTTTACAGACAATATATCTGTCTTGAAATCCACTTTTAGGCAATGTATTTATATCTAGATCCATTTAAAAAGTATCTTTTAACAACTCATAAAAAATAAGTGCAAGAAAATTATTTTAACACTTAATTAATACATAAGATGAATAAAAAAAATAATAATAATATTATATATCAATGTTCATGTATTATAAGTGATTACCAATAGATTTCTTATTATATAATATTTATTTAATATCTATTAAAGAAAATATTAGATTAGAAAAAATAAAGAGGATTTATAAAAAGTCCAAAAATAAAAGATTTTGACTAAGATTTAATAATTAAGATGAATATTTTAGGATTATTTTTTTAAATTATTCTACATAAAATACCTTTAACTAAGAAAAAGAAAGAAGATATGATGACAAAACTATAATTTATATTATTATTTATTTATTGTAAATTTCAGGTGTCGTATTTTTAAAAAAATTTGTTTTAATATTTAAGTCAAAAAATATATATAAGATCATTTTATTTGTGTTCAACATCTTTTAAATTGCTCCCCCCCCCCCATTTCACTGTATAAAAAAATGGTTGTATACAAAATAAGAATAAAATTAATTTATGAAATAAAATAAGATGTTAACTTTGTTTATTTGGTGCAATGTGTTTTATTTGGATGGGATTTGATAATGCCTTCTTTGGATTTATAAATTTTGTTAACAGTCTTTTTAGAAAAATTAAATCTTTTAGCATTCTCTCTTTGAGTATGATAATTTAAAAATTAAAAACCTCAATTAATCTGTCCACTTTACAAAGTTACCAGTTGCCCAAGTGTTCAAGGCATATTCTAATAGTAGTTAAGAAGAATTTGATTGGGACTCAAAATTTAGGTCAAATTAAGAGTTTGCAAATTATAAAGAGCCCAAATAAGACAGGTTTGACTGTATACATATTTATGAAAATAAAATGATTATTTCAAAAAAATGTCTTATTTAATTGTATCTATATTTACAAACAGATTATCGAATATTTGTTTATTTTTATTTGCAGAATGTAAAATTTTCCGTTGGAATTCATAGTATTTTTGAATAAATTTATCCATGTGATATATTTATGAATAAAGAATATATATTACCTTGAAAGAATATACCATTTAATTTTATATTAATAATTGGCTCAAAGTCAATGGCAATTGATAGAAAATTATTTTGTCTTATATGAATTTTGGAATTTGGATCATTCAAAAATATTCCAATATAGCCATTACCTAATTATAAAAAATGTAAAAATAAAAACAATTATTAAACCTAAAAAAGGTGTAAAATTATAATCATCCAGGTGCATAAATTGAATTATTGTATTCATATAGGGAGTATTATGATACAAAAATAAATGATCATTCAAACAATTAAGACAGATATCTAGAAAATTATATAAATTTTATTTTTAAGATATTGCTCAATACTTGATTTGTATTTTTGCTTATGTTGAAATAAAGGCCAAACATAGAGAAGAAAGATTAAAATACTAAAAATAAGAATAATCAGTTTTTTAATTCTAGATATAAATATTTATTTAAAATTAAACTAAAATAGTTACGATATATGTTTTTCCACCAATTTCTTGAATGGATAAAGTTTTTGAAAAATTTCCATAAATATATCTGCAAATAGAAGGTAAATGAATATATAAAAATCAGATATATAAAATACATATTTACATTTTCTTATTTTTTTGAAGTCAAGCAAATTTATATTCATGGTATAATAGCTTGCCTAAATTATCAAGCCACATTTTATTACATTATCATATCATATAAGAGCATGCTCTGTAACCTAATAGAGTGTAAAGTGATAATTGACAGGTAAAATTTATTTTTTATTATAGTTATAACAAGTTAGTATCTATTATAATTTTACCATATCCTCGCTACGTTATCGCTACGTGGTGGTGTTATCGGTAGGTATTTAATTATTTTTATCTATGCCAACAATGTCTTAAACATTTCATCTTCCTTGTAGAAACAATTGAGAAGATATATATATATTACTTCCTAAATAATATCATGTTGACGCTTACACACAACAGGGCATAGTTATTGTTACATGTTTGTAACTATATATTTTAATAAGCTTTTTTATTTTTGAAGGTTTAAGGCGATCGTTTTTTAGTAACTATTATATGTTGTAAAGTGGACGTGATTATATATGTTATACCAGGCTTGTACGCAGCGGGTGGGGGGGGGGGGGAACAACCCTCCCCCACCTTCCCCGAAACCAAAAAATGCAGATGCCTGATATATTTTTCAAAAATATTATTGTTTATATTAATTTATATATGTTAAAATAATTTGTTTATATTAATTTATATACGTTAAAATAATTTATTCCTATCTCATATTAAATATATACTTAATTACATTTATTTATCACATTCATCTAATAAGTTATTTTAACCATTAATTTCGATTTCAAGTTTTCCATGGCGTAATATTTACTTAATATTTTCAAATTTTTAATAGCGTAATATTTATCTACCATTTTCAAATTTCTAGTTAAATAATAATTACTAGTAGAGAGCCCGTCAAAAATGACGGGGAATGAGAATATGTCATGCTAGGTTCACCCTGAATTTATAGTGAAGAGCGATTGCGATTTCGCATCGATTTTCATTATAGTGCAGTGCAAAGCGTTATTAATTCAAAATGGTATCCATCCTCAAATTATTATTTTTTTTATAGAATGATCTTGAAGAGGAGAAGATGCTATCTTTTAATAAAACAAAAGAGGGCGAATTTTATGTCCTTTTTCCTAAACTATTAAAAAATGAGCCTAAATTTTTCAACTATATGAGAATGACTAAAGTAATTTTATTCTATATTATCTATAATTCATTTTATTTAGGAAACCTTTTATTATATACTCAAACTTGTAAAACCTTTATTACATACCAAATGTACCAATTTTATAAAACATCCTATAAGTGTGAAGAAAAGCTTATGGTTTGTTTAAGGTAAAAATAAAGCAATTTATTATTTAAATATTTTTTTTTATTTAGGTATTTAGCAACATAAGATTCATATAGTATTAAATCAACACTGCTATTCTGATTCAATCCATGATTATGCTTATATTTATATAAAAATCCTATATTATAGATTTTTATAAATTTAATTATATCTTATTTTGTATGTTATATAAATATCTTGTTTTGTATTTTATATAAATACCTTGTTTTATATTTTATATAAATACCTTGTTTTATATTTTATATAAATACCTTGTTTTGTATTTTATATATATTATAATAAAAATAAAGTTATTATTAGTTTCAAATAACAAAAATATATTCAAAATAATTTTAATCAATAATCTTTTATAATATCAAGTATTGTTATTTCTTTTTTTTCCTGATTGGTACAATCATATAATTTTTATAAATATCTTGTTTTGTATTTTATATATATTATAATAAAAAATAAAGTTATTATTAATATAGTCTAAACTCATAAAATATATATGTAGGAATATGTCACTAAAAAAGCTATATAGTTGTTCTAAATTCATCTATTGAAAATATTTGTATAAAGCAAGTTAACATAAATTACCAATGTCATTAAACTTTCTCTAAGATAAAGATCATTCATTATAAATTATATATTTAGACATTATTAATTACCAAACTCAGTACAAGGCTTAATTAATGCAGGACTTTTGGGAATAATTATATCATTCAATGTATTTCACAAAATGTTTATTTCAAATAATATAAATACATACAAAATATATATTTCAAATAACAAAAATATATATTTCAAATAACAAAAATATATATTTCAAATAACAAAAATATATACAAAATAATTTTAATCAATAATCTTTTATAATATCAAGTATTTTATTTGTTTCATCTTTGGTACAATCATCTAATTTTTCTTTTAATTAAACATATTGCATGTTCTGTTGATTTATTTTTAAGCATTTCCAAGGTTATTAATGCTTTATCTGCTTCTTATTTTTATTAATTTCCTATAGTCATCTATTTAAAATTTATCAATAAATCAAAAAATATAAATTATCCATATCATTGTTCTTTCTCTTAGGACATTTATAATAATAACTAGGTGACCCAACATAGGACATAGATTCTATATAAAAGATAATATAAATTTTTAGACATTATTAATTACCAGAATCATTAAGATTTAGTGCTGCAGAATCTTTGGGAATAAATTTATCATCTGATATATTCTCACTATCAATGAGATCACCTAAATAATAAATATATTTTAATAAATATATTTTATCAATTAAAATGCTATATTTTACATTCATATATACCTCTTGTTATTTCATTAAATATATCATTTGCATCTATAAAAGCTATTTTATCTATTTTCTAAAAAAAATTATATTTAAATCATAATTTTAACTGATCCTTTGGTTTTATATCATCAAAAAAGGTTGTCATTGAATTCATTTCAATTAATAAAAAATTAGCGCTAAATTTAAAAGTAGCGCAATATCGTGCCGTGCCGCATGCAATGACATATCGCATGATATACTTTTTTTTTGTGTTTTGATGTTTTGTCGCGTGACTTATTGCTAAATTTTGCTTAAGCTTAAAATTTGTATGCTCAATTTAACAAGCTGATTGCTCAATAATATTTTCTCCAGCATCATTTGAGACCATAACCAACCCAGGTAAATTATAGAATATATTACTATTATGCTATCTTGTTAACCTGGAAATTTTCTTCTTAGAATATATACTAATATGCTATCTTGTTAACCTGGAAATTTTTTTCGTAGCATCAATTGATAATCCTTTAAAATATGCTATCTTGTTAACCTGGAAATTTTAATCTTAGCATCAATTGATAATCCATTCAGGAACTCCAACTAATCAAGGTAAATTTAAAATATGCTATCTTGTTAACCTGGAAATTTTAATCTTAGCATCAATTGATAATCCATTCAGGAACTCCAACTAATCAAGGTAAATTTAAAATATGCTATTTTGTTAACCTGGAAATTTTAATATTAACATCACTTGATATAATCCATTCAGGAACTCCAACTAATCAAGGTAAATTTAAAATATGCTATCTTGTTAACCTGAAAATTTTAATCTTAGCATCACTTGATATAATCCATTCAGGAACTCCAAAGTAAATTTAAAATATGCTATCTTGTAAACCTGGAAATTATAATCTTAGCATCACTTGATATAATTTATTCAGGAACTCCAACCAACCAAAGTAAATTTAAAATATGCTATCTTGTTAACCTGGAAATTTTAATCTTAGCATCACTTGATATAATCCATTCAGGAACTCCGACCAACCAAAGAAAATTTAAAATATGCTACTAGTTTTATCTGGAAATTATGATTATTCAATAAATCAATTAATTTTTTTAAAGCAAAATGCCCAATATAAATTTATAAAATCTAAATTTAATAAAAATCTACTATTTTCTAATAATTATTTATATTCTCAAAATAGAGAAAACTATTATATGCATACCAATGACATATGTCATTGATGCTTACATAGATATTTATTAATTATTAGGTTTTTACCTAAAAATTCACATCACTCTTTATCAATATTATGATCATGCTGTTAAAATTTTCATTTTTTAATGCTTTTTATACCAAATTTACACCATTTTATATAATATTGATATGCAAAAAGTAATTACCATAATTTTATATATTACTATTGAAATACAAATTGCAATCATTATTTTATATACCACCTATTGATATACAAATTGTAATCATCATTTTCTATACAATTAATATTCAATTGCAATATATACAAATATTTATACACCACCATCAATATACAGTCTTAATAAAAATAATTTTATAATTGATATGCAAATTGCAATCTTTATTTTATATACCTTCATCAATATATAGTCTCAATAAATATAAATTTATATACTATTGATATATAAATTGCAATCATTATTTTATATAGCATTATTATACAATTGCAATCATTATTTTATATTTGTCAATCACAATAATAATATTTATCAATCATATTAATAATATTTATATATACTATTGATATAATTGCAAAAGTAATAATAAAATTGTTAGGCTTATATTTCATTATTCTTACAACACGCATGCTTATTCATTATATCATATTTTTTATAAGTAATGTTGTTAAACGGCTCGATTAAAACGGCTAACTCAATATTTTATCTGAAAAAATATTAGGCAAGCCAGCAGACCTTGCTCAGAGGTGGCATAAAGGTTTGGCATAGTGTTGTTAAACGGCACGTTTTGAGCCGATTTTTAAAAACGGCTAACTCAATATTTTAGCCAGAAAAATATTGCTTAAACCTCAAGATTTCTATAATATATGTGTAGACCCTTGTTCCTTCTATGAGCAAAATCTTCCAGCTTGGGTAATATTTTACTGGATGAAGTATTGAGTTAGCCGTTTTTAAAAATCGCTCAAAACAAGCCGTTTAACAACACTGGCATCTATTAGCTAAATCTCGAGGCTTAGTCAATATTTTGCTAGCCAAAATTTGAGTTAGCCATTTTTAAAAACTCGACTCAAATCGAGCCTTTTAACAATATTTTTAAGTAATATCTAAGTAATCCGATATTTATATGAATAAATACGTATGATAAATAGCTCTAACAAAATAAATCTCATATTTATAGGAATAACAAGTATAAATCCCTATGTTAAAAATTTTATTAATGGTCCTAGTAGGAAAAGAGATTAACATATTCCCATTAATCATTAGAAATCTAAAAATTAAAATATGAGTAAATCTGATATTTATAGGAATAATAAGTATAAATCTCTACGATAAAAATTTTATTAATGAAGTTCCTAGTAGGAAAAGAGATTAACATATTCCCATTAATCATTAGAAATCTAAAAGTTAAAATATGAGTAAAACTGATATTTACAGGAATAATAAGTATAAATCTCTACGATAAAAATTTATTAATGGAGTTCCTAGTAAGAAAAGAGATTAACATATTCCCATTAATCAATAGAAATCTAAAAATAAATTAAAATATGAGTAAATCTGATATTTATAGGAATAATAAGTATAAATCTCTACTATAAAATTTTTTTTAATGGAGTTCCTAATAGGAAAAGAGATTAACATATTCCCATTAATCATTAGAAATCTAGAAAAAAAATCAAAATATGAGTAAATCTGATATTTATAGGAATATTAAGTATAAATCTCTATGATAAAAATTTTATTAATGGAGTTCCTAGTAGGAAAAGAGATTAACATATTCCCAAATCATTAGAAATCTAAAAGTTAAAATATGAGTAAATCTGATATTTATAGGAATAATAAGTATAAATCTCTACGATAAAAATTTTATTAATGGAGTTCCTAGTAGGAAAAGAGATTAACATATTCCCATTAATCATTAGAAATCTAAAAAAAAATTAAAATATGAGTAAATCTGATATTTATAGGAATAATAAGTATAAATCTCTACGATAAAAATTTTATTAATGGAGTTCCTAGTAGGAAAAGAGATTAACATATTCCCATTAATCATTAGAAATCTAAAAAAAAATTAAAATATGAGTTAATCTGATATTTATAGGAATAATAAGTATAAATCTCTACTATAAAAATTTTATTAATGGAGTTCCTAGTAATATTAACCATATTGTATAATTGAATTATAAATAAATTATATTAAATAGATAAATAATATTATAAATATATAAAATATGTAAATAATATTATAAATATATAATATAAATTATACTATTTTAATTATATATTAATTATGTTAATAATATTAATTATTATATTATAATTAAATCATATTAAATATTATAATTATATATTACTAAAATTAAAATTATATATTACTAAAATTTATATTAATACAATTTATATATTTTTATTTATATTAAATTAATTTCTTTAAATATTATATTAATAATATATTATGTTAAATATTACAATTATATACTTATTAAAATTTATATTAATACAATTTATATATTTTTCTTTATATCAAATTAATTTAATTACTTTAAATATTATATAAGTAATATATTATGTTAAATACAATTATATATTTATTAAAATTTATTTTAAATGATTTTAATATTAATTATATAATTATAATAAATATTTGATTAAGGTATTTTATTAAAATTTATAATGATATTAATTTAATATTAAATACTTAAATAGAAAAAACTATCTAATCTGTAAAAGTCAAATTTTTGATATTTTTTTAAATCTCTCGCTTCAAACTTATAGGGGCCATTTTGACAGCCATTTTAGCTTATTTGTCTTTTTGATATTTTTAAGAGTATATAAAGCGGACCCGAACCAATGAATGCGATATCATATTTACTCTATTTTGCATTTATCGCGTCTAAATCGCAATCGTGCCACTATGAATTCAGGGTCAAGCTCACAATATTAAGAAACATCCAAGATCTTATAATTTAAAAAAAGTTTATCAAGCCCAGCTCAACCCTTAATAATTTGTAAAAGATATTCCCAAGTCAGGTGCAAGCTAATATTAATTTTGAGGTTCCAAGCCCAGTCCTACCCATTATAATTTTGAAAATTTTTTCCCGCCTCGGAGATAGTTTAATTTTTAATATAATCACATGAAAGGGAATTATCTGATTTACCATAGTTTAAGATGTAAGTGAGAAACATGTGAATTCCGTATTAAGGGAAACTGGGAAGGCCTGGGCAAACCAGTTATTAGAGAATCTTGACAAATAAAATAAAAATAACCGACTCTTATACTTTTTAGAAATATGATCATTTAAAATTATATCTAAAAAATATGTTGTTTATTATATAAGGTTATTGTTGTTTTTCAGATAAATTTAATGTATGTCTTGCATTTCTGAAATAATTTGTCAAAGAATTTGATAAAGGATATATATATTTTTATGTTAAGTAAAAAAAAATGCTATATATTTAAATTACAAAAATGCCATTAAACACCAATGAAAATTATATGCAAATTATTTATATACTAGTTGATAACCCGTCAAAAATGACGGGGATGATAATTTTATTCGTTCTTTTACGATAATTCTTTTTACCACTCCCCCTCCTCCTTCAGGCCAATTCCAACCCATTAAGACTAAGAGTGATGAATTGTCTTTTTTATTCAATGATTGATGAATAATATATTTTACCTTTATTTGATGATGGATGAATCAGAAATTTTCCTATTTTATGAGATGTGATTTCGAAATTTATATTTTAAATTACAAAAATGAATAAAAATGAAAAAATATCTCATATTAGCATCATACTGATCACCCGTCAAGAATGACGGGGAATTATAATTTGAGAAGTGATTTAGAAATTTATATTTAAAATTACAAAAATGAAACAATATATCTTATTAGCACCCTAAATACTAACATTATTTACCAGACACTGATCACCAGTCAAGAATGACGGGGAATTATAATTTGAGATGTGATTTAGAAATTTATATTTAAAATTACAAAAATGAAACAATATCTCTTATTAGCACCCTAAATAATAACATTATTTACCAGAGCTCCTGTTAGTCAGAATTGATGTTCACTCCCCACTGGGTGAAGGTGGGAGATGGATTTTAGGGGAGCAAAGAAATGAAAAAAAGAATGAAAAAAAGAAGGAAGAAATAGAAAAAAAGAGACAAAGATATGAATTGTAAGAAATTATAATAAATATTTATACTTCAAGAGTTGATGATTATCGGGTTACAACACATATGCATTTGTAGCCATATAAAAAATATAATATAAAAAATTTTATAATATAGAAAATTTTACCTAAAAAAGGAGATTTAAAATATTTTCAAAATTGAGAGGGATGTAAGAATTTTAAGCATTAGTCGGGTATATCACCGTATCTTGACTTTTATTTGTTAATGTTTTGCCATGGCCAGTAGTTTGCCGTATATATCCTGAAATAAAACGTGTAAATTGGAATTATAAAGTAGAATTTACTGTTGTTGGTGAGGAAGATGGTTTAGCGATGGTGAAGAAGTTCTCTTTTCTTTGCTCAATGTGGTTTCGTTTTTGAAGATGATGTTGAAATTTCCTTGCTCGTAGTTTGCCGTAAATAACCTGAAAAAAAAACGTGTAAATTGAAATTATAAAATAGAATATACTGTTGTTGGTGAGGAAGATGGTTTAGCGATGGTGAAGAAGTTCTCTTTTCTTTGCTCAAGGTGGTTTCGTTTTTGAAGATGATGTAAAGTTGGTGATTTGATGGTGAATAACAAAGTTGGTTTAAATTTCTTACAAATTATGAATTTAAGATTTCATTATATATGATATTTTGTGTGAATGTTTTATCATTTTTTAAAATTTTTCCTTGTAATTCTGATGGCAAAATCATAATTTTCATATTATTTTGAGATTTACATCTAGTAAGAGCCACATATAGTTGTCCATGGGCAAAGACGGGCTCAGGGAGGAATAAGCCTACATGATCAAAAGTTTGTCCTTGACTTTTATTTATTGTAATCACAAAAGCGGGAATTATAGGAAACTGTCGTCTTTTTAAAGTAAATGGTAACTGAGAGTCACTTGGAGTTAGATCTATTCGTAGGAGAAAAACTCGATAACCCTTATTAGTGCCTGTCAATACCTCAGCGTCGATAAAATTAATATGTAAATGTAGTATGATTAAACGGGTACCATTACAAAGTCCTTTCTTTGGGCTCAAGTTGCGTAATCTCATAACAATTGTACCAACCTTAAGTGTTAGCTTGTGAGGTGGCATACCGGATGGAGTTTGTGAATGCAAAAATTCTATTGGAAAATTCATTATATCATCCTTATTATCGCTTTCAATGGAATCTGCACTATAATAATGTTTGATAGGGCCTGAAATTATAATAATGATATCGTTGTTGAGGGTAAATTTTATTTTTGGTGGTTAATATTATTTTAGTAGAAAGACTATCTATATCAGCAATTTCTATAGAATTACCATACACACATTTAATTAATGAATCATTTTCAAGCAAATAAGGTGGGATTTCAACACTATTTGTAGGAAGATCAGAATTGCTGCTTGATAGCCCATCTCCAATTTTAAGTAACCAAGCATTGTAATCAACTTGCTCTGATGGAATACGCATATTATCAATCAAATGTATTATTTTAAAATGACTCCATAAATCTGAACTTTTTATACAGGACTCTATAATATCGACTTTGGAGCCTTTAGGCACTACTGATAAAATCTGTCTAAAATCACCACCTAATAAAATAACTTTTCCGCCAAATGGGTGGGAATTTTTCATAATGTCTTTAAGTAATCGGTCAATGCATCGCAAAGCGTGTTTAGTCATCATTGTGGCCTCATCAATAATAATCAATTTGCTATTTTTAATATCTAAAGCTAGCGAACTATGTAAATTCATATGGGATGTAGAAGTTTCAAAGATAGGCACAGGTAATTTAAATCCGCTATGGATGGTTCTTCCCCCTTTAAAAGAATAGAGGATATGCCGGTGGTTGCAAAAGGCAATACAATTTGATTTTTTGCTCTTATATAACACATTAAGGTATTAAGATACGTTTTACCTGAACCTCCAGGGCCATCCACGAAGAAATATCTTTCTGGAATATTTTCTAATTCAATCGCTTGTATAATTAAATCAAAAGCATATTTTTGTAATCGGTTTAATTTAGATATACGCTCGATTGAATCGGCAGCTTCAACATGGGTATCATAATGTTGTTTTGGGGGGATTTTTGTAGGTGAAGGAAGATCAAAACTTTGTCAGCATAAACCATGATCAAGAAAAACGTTTTCAATGTCCATTAAAGCCATGGTTATTGCAATTACTTCTGAATATTGACGATAATCTTCAATCATCATAAATCTGAACCTATTCCATAGATATGCAGGATTTTCAGGCTGACATGCAGATAAAGGCAAAAGTACTCCGAAGTTGTGACGGCATTTGATATATTGATCCCTCTTCTAAGCATGATTCCCACTCTTTATCATCTGATAACAAATTTCTTTTAATAGCTGCCTCTTTAAAAGTACTCATTAAAATTCGATTAATAGTTTTTAAATAATCAAAACTTGTAGCCCCGCAAACATGAAGTAATAATAATCGAAGTAAGAATCGTTCACTAGAATTAGGATGAACGGAATACATTCTCGAAATTACATTTAATAGTTTTTTTCTTAGTTTCCAATGGTAATTTGTAAACACATAATGATAAGGTATTTCCCCATAAAGATATTGTCTAGCATTTAGATCTGTCTTATTTAACTCAAACCATGCCGTTAAAGTAGTATGTTTATTTTTTGATCTCAATAAAGCATCTCTTTCATGTCCAGCAGTGAAATATACTGGCTGTTGTAAAGGTAAATGAATTCCTAAGCAAATAACAGCATGCGAGCGGTCATGTATATTATTTTCTAATTATCTCCACATTGATTCACATGCACTCACATATCGCGCATTTAAATGTGATTTAATTTCGTCATGAATATTTATATTTGAAGCAACATTAATGTCAACATTAGTACAGTCATAGCCCTTATAAGTATACTTAAAGATATATTTTACCGATTTAATAGATGTACAAATTTCCACGTTAATATGAGCATTGAATTTTAACATTAGATATCGATTATATGGAATAACATAACGATTATCCGTAGGTTTACCGGAAAGAATTGTAATACCATTATATCGCCTTTTATAATATGGATACCCATCAATATTTGGTCTTGTTTCCATTTGAAAATCCTTAGGAAACTTTTTGGTACATATGCCATTTTCCATGCAAGGCGATTTGGGGTTAAATATCCCTCAAGGACCATGTATCATAAAATGGGTATCTGAAAAAGTTTAGGTTCGAGAATTTTATCTGGCATTTCGGCACAAACAAATTTATATATAGTTGAGATGTTTATATTTTGCTATCATCGTTTAAAATAATAAGTATATGAGCATGAGGCAAACCTCTTTTTTGGAACTCGATTGTATATATAAAAGCCATAGATTTACCAAATAAATTTTTTTTATTTATATCGAACAATAATTCATTTAATTTCAATTTAAAAACACGGTATATTAAATCTGGTCTATCTGTAGGACTTTGCCCGGGAAATAGATTTTCCTTAATTTCACGCCAATTAAGATTGCATGTAAAAGTAATAAACAAATCAGTTTTGCCATATTTGAACACAATGGCCATTGCATCGTGATAGCGTTCTCGCATATTTCTTTGAGAACCTTGAAAAGATGATGGTAATATTACTGCTTTACCGGGAATTATATTGTTTGACCTTTTTTTCCAAGTAGTCCATTAATCCAGAATATTCATCTACTCCTAATTTTGGCTGATTATGTCTAATAAAATTTAAATTATTCGCCTCGACCTGTAAAATAGGAATCAACAATATATTGTTGTTATAATTTCCCAGCAAAAAGGATTGGGAAAGGATTGGGTTGAATTCATTTTCACGAATTGCTAATCTAAATATTTTAAACTGTAGTAGTGAGATATTTGCCCTTGTACGCCCTGTATCTTCACCCTTTAAATCTGGTTTCCAACTAGGGTCACCAAAAGGAAATAATAGAGGATATACCATTGGATCAAGATTAGGGCTTAATATATTTATATTTATCAGATCACTACCATCAACTCGAGGATAGACCTTGATATCCCGTTTAAATGGGGGTTCACCATCATCTTTTGTATAAATCATAGCTACTTCATCTATATTAGGAATGTTATATCTTCGCTTGTCACTTGAGCGATCTGCACGAAAAATCATATTGATTTTTTGAACTGGAGGATCAAATTTAAAAATATAAAATTTACATCTATACAAACAAAATGATTATATTATTCATTTGCCTCCAGCTATTCTCATTTCTAAAAAGGTTTAAATTTTGTTTAATTATTATTTATTGCTATTTAAAATATTAATTTTTTTAAATTTAACTTTTTTGTTTAATTATTATTTATTGCTATTTAAAATATTATTTTTTTTAAATTTAACTTTTTCAAAAGAATAGTTGAAAGCAAATTAGTAATTAAATTATTTTGTTTGAATAGAATAATAGATGTAAATTTTATATTATTGAATTTGATCCTTTCTCTGTTGTGAGATATAATTTAAATTGACTTATCTTAAAATAAATGTATAAAAAAGAATATCATATTTTTTTGAAAAGATAGGATTCCTAGGTATATGAGAATTTATTGTTATTCTTATCTATATAAAATAATATAGATAACTTAATATATAAATAACATAGTAAATTATTATGTCACAAAAAAATAGGGTATAAATTTAATCTAAAGTCTGATAAAATGAAAAATATATAACTGAGTCATGAAAATTTTTGTATTGGTTAAGGGTTCAGTGATAGGTTTGTTAGTGCTTAATAGAACAAATTATTACATATCCTTTATTGGTTGAATTTTAAAAAAAATGAATATTAAATTAAAAAGAATATGGAAAATAAGGTTACCTCTTTTATTGAAAGGATAGGATTATTAGGTGAAAAATTATTTGTATTTTTTATTGTTATTCATCTATATAGTTAAAATTTACCTATAAAAATTAAAAATTTAAATAGTCAGATAAAAGGAAGAATCCATACTTATGACTCATAGATTCTTGAACTTGGTTAAGAGTCAATAGTAGATTAGGCAGTGCTAATTATATTTAGCCCATCATTAGTAATTTTAATTTATGTGCACAATAAAAAATCATTTGAACTAAATTTTTATTCATTTATTTGCAATTTTAGAAATATATTAAAAATTTACTTTGATATAAAGTGCTTACCATCTAATGAGCCAGGTCAATAGATTTTTGTGCAATCTAAAAATATATTAATATATCTAAATTTATAATACCTTCTCCCAATGTTCTCTAGTTGGAACTGGCATATGAATATCTTTTAAAGTTTTCCATATAGCATCCTCTGGAATGATGGTAACAATGCATTTTGCTTATTCTGCTTTTTAACTTGGTTTGTTTTTTCTTATATTGGTAGTTGGGTTTTGTTGAAGAATCTAATAAAAATAATATAATTATATATAAAAACTGAAAAAATTATACTTGGTTGCTGGATACCATTGCTTTGATATGTGAAGTGAATGAAATGGTAAGTGTATGAATGCAGAGCTTGGTAAGGTGATTACTATTGGACCGATTCCGCTGTAATCATTTTTATTGGACAAATATGTTTTAAAAGAAAACTATTGGCTAAATTTGATTGACGTTTTTTGAGGATTATTATAATAGATTTTTTAAGATATTATATTTTATTGACATAAATTTAAGGTAATTTTTTTGAAAAATAATGAGGATTATTTATTATGTATTTGATAAAATTAAGAGCAAATCTTTGTTGACATTTTAATTTTTGATGGGAAAAGCGGCAAAATAAATCTGGACGGTCGGAGGAAATAATTACTGTATAATTTTATATCATTTAGGGTTGTAGATGAAAGTAATGACGGATTAACAAAGCAGTGTACAAAACACATTAC